ACCGGAACTCTCTGACAATGAGATACAAGAAAGAAAGAGACAAATAATGCAAAAAATGCAAAAAAAAAAGAGAGTAAACTTGTCACAGTTTCTTTTTTTCTTTCAAGTTCTGCAATTTCTTTTTGTTTGTTAGTCAATAAAGGGAAATCTTTGGGTTAACATGATTAATCAAAAATGAGATCTGAACTAATAGAGAGACTTTTTAATGTTGATATCATTAGAAAGTCGGTTTCTGAAACCAACAAAATCTTGAAGATCTTGAAGATCTTGAAAAGAGAAAGTTTTAAAGGCACTTCTACTTCTTCTAGCTTTTGAGAGATCAGGAGAACCGGGAAAGGGAAAAGAAGAATTACATTTAGTAGGCCAACAATAATTTCGGGAGTAATGAAGCTCATCTAATCCTTTAGATGAACCATCTAAAGGAAACTAAATCTTATGAATTGAAAAAGAAAAAGACTAAGCTTAAAACGGCTTTCAGCTTAAAAAGAAAACACTTTAGAAACTCAAAAAAATGTGCGAAAGTTTTACAAAAAAAGTAAAACGGTGGCAGGCGGGCCACGGGCAGGCGGGCGGACTTAGGGCAGGCAGGCAGGCTTAGGGCAGACAGGCGGGCCACGGGCAGGCGGGCGGGCCACGGGCAGGCAGGCGGGCTTAAGGCAGGTAGGGCGGGGCCACGGGCAGGCAGGGCGGCAAGAGGAATCGAACCCGGGGGCAAAGCTTGCACTAGTTTAATAGCCTAACGCACTATCCCCTAGTCTGCGGCTGCTTAGGTTCGTTGCGGTATGGCAGCGGCTTATTGGTGGGGGCAGTGCTGGAGCTTTGGGACGTTCTTTTTGGACACATAACAGGCTTGAACGATTTGAAATCTGAAAAAAACGATTAAACAAGAAGTTTTCAAAAGAAACGACCAATAAAGGGGCTTAAAACTGGCACCAAACGGCGTTTTTGGCTTGCGATTTGGGGTTTTCTCAGTCTCAGAATTGAGGCTTGGGCTTAGTCGGCTTAAAACTGGTACTAAACCGCGTTTTTGCTTCGAGATTTGCGGTTTTCTCAGTCTCAGAATTGAGGCTTGGGCTTAGTCAGCCTAAAACTTAGAAAAACTCTAGAACTTAAAGTTAGAAACGGCAAATAATGATCTGAAAAAGTTGCAAAGAGCCAAATGATCTCCAAAACACATTTTTCAGCTATTCATTCGACAAATTCACACAAAAAAGCCGATGCTATTTGCAGCTAATCACGCTTTTTAGCTAACCAACTTTCTGGTGCACTCAATTCGTTTTTGTTGCGACTTTTTTGCGACTATTTGATTTCTGTACATGAGTCTAATAAAGTGCACCAGAAAGAGTGCGTTTACATTGCCAAAATAAACACAAAAAGTTTCGTTTGGATATGAGATTTTGAAAGAACTCTCTTTTGCAAAAATACAAATGAAATGTCGATAAATCTGAAAATTTTTCCGTTCTATGTCCGTCTCAAAAGTAACGCCGCGAAAAGTGAGTAATCCGCGTGATGAAAACAAAAAAAAAATTCTCCACTTTCTCTCTGCCCAAACATTTCAAAGTTACGATTTTTCTCCTTGACAAAAAGTGATACTAGGGAAATGAAGTGAATGAAAGTTCGACTGTGAAAAAGTGGAAAAAATAAGTGTTCGACGAGTGAATGAGCGATAGAAACGGAATTCCTGAACAAATTTGTTGCAAGACGTGATTTTTAGGAAAATCATTTGTATTCTTTTATACTCCTTTAGTTTACTTACGAGGTTTGCCTTTACTTGTTCCAATGTCAAGCCTGGGTTCAGCCAGGTTCAGCCAGGGTAGCCAGGTCCAGCCAGGGTAACCAGGTTCAGCCAGGTCCAGTCAGGTTCAACCAGGTTCAGCCAGGTTCAGCCAGGCTCAGCCAGGCTCAGCCAGGTCCAACCAGGTCCAACCAGGTTCAGCCAGGTTCAGCCAGGTTTAGCCAGGTTCAGCCAGGTTTAGCCAGGTTCAGCCAGGTTCACCCAGGCTTAGCCAGGTTCACCCAGGCTTAGCCAGGTTCACCCAGGCTCAGCCAGGCCAAAAGCAGATTCAGAAGAGGCAAAAACCACTCTCAGACAAGTTTGAAGAATCTGGGAAAGAGGAGATGACACCGAGTGTCGCCGAAATGTTTTACACAGAGTATGAGGAATGGCTTCAACAGGTAAATTGCTGCTGTAATTAGTGGCATTATACAAATAAATAGACAAAGAAGGTACCGTGAATACTGGGATTGCAGTAACCTTATCGAGAAACAGGGTTCACGTTTTCCTTTTCAGGATAGTCAACGCCTGGCTCGTCGCCGAATCTTTGACCGTCTCTCAAAGCTGTACCTCGTCCAAAAGCCAGTCAAGCCAAGGTCATGCATTTTGACAAAGAGTTTAGACAGTACCTATGCTGCATATGTGGTTCACATATGCCAAGTCTAACTAGGGAAAAGTACTAGGTCACTTTGGGATTTCGGAACGAAATCTACCCCATCCAATAGAAAATTGAAAAGGGAATCCGAATCTGTAATCGAAATCTGCTGAATAGCTCGCAAACGCAAGATTTCTGACATCGAAGTTTTTGATATATACTCTCGGGTCGAGTTTATGCGATCCCTTTCAGATCGAGTTTATGCGAAGCCGTTCAGCCACAGTCGTGATGTAGTGGATAGTGTGGTTGCATACAGAGATTGAGAATTTCATCGTAGTGGGTTCGAATCCCGAACCTCTTGCTTTTTATTTTTCACAAATACGTTTTTTACTTTATTTATGCTTGGTTTTCATGTGGTTATTTAGAATCACATCTGGACTCTTTCTTGACACCATTGGCGTATTGTTTCGAACGAGTAGTAGCAGGATGGACCCAGCCAATAGCCAGAGAAGCTCGACCAGGCCAAAGCTAAGCCAAAATCCAGGCCAAAGCTAAGCCAAAATCCAGGCCAAAGCTAAGCCAAAATCCAGGCCAAAGCTAAGCCAAAATCCAGGCCAAAGCCAGGCCAAAGCCAGGCCAAAGCCAGGCCAAAGCCAGGCCAAAGCCAGGCCAAAGCCAGGCCAAAGCCAGGCCAAAGCCAGGCCAAAGCCAGGCCAAAGCCAGGCCAAAAGCCAAGCACATCAAAAACCTAGGGATTTTTGTGGGTCTGACGTGCAGTAGAGCATCAGAAGCAAATCAAGTCAGGATTTTGACGGGAAAAAGAAAGCCTTTGCAATAATTCTCCCAGTTCTGCATATTCGATGAAGAGATGAGTGATTGAGGGACATATAAAAATATAAAAATACAATTCGAAAATACAAAAAGCTGGCAATAGAACGTCGAAAAATGAAAGGCATAGGTTTTTAGATCAAAATATCTTACAAAATTCTAATATAAAGGATAAGAATTTGAGCAAAAACGATTCAAAAGCTGATGAGCTTTTGAATGGTTTTTGATTACTGAACAAGTTCGGCAAATGCGTTGAAATGGAGCACTCAGAAATCTGTATGAGATCTGATTGTTGAGGAGTGGAAGAGATCGTTAACGGGAATCCGATCTCGAGATTTCTTTCTCTGTTTCTTTCTTTCTTCCAATTTTCTCTCTTTTTTGTTCTTTCTCTTGTGATGTCAAGGTCAATTTCTTCGTCTTTTCCTTCTTTTCCTTCTTTCCTTTAGCTCTTTCCCCTTCAAATGAGCCGCTTCCTCTCTTCAAATGAGCTCGATTCCTCCCCGATTCTCATTTACAAACGGAGATAGACACACTGATTCCCGAGGATATTTATTATTGGATTTGCGAGATGCGAGATGCGAGATCATTTTAGTGGATAAAGTTTAGAACAGCTTGTTTCCGGTAATCTGGAAGATCAGACTGCTTTTCCAGGTTCAGAAACTGGATTCATGAACTGCCCAGTGCAAGTCGTAAACTGGTCAGATCCTAGATCTTGTAAGATTCTAGACTTTTCGAATTTGCAAGACAAGAAGTTCAAGCGAAAGATCAAAGAGTTAATGGCCACACTTCCAGCTAATGGCCACACAAATAGTGTAAAAATGCGTTCTCTATTAAAAATCATTAACATTTCCGTTTTCTAGACAAAAAAAATGATCGTTTCATAACTTTCCGTATTTGCAAGACAAGAAGTTCAAGCGAAAGACCAAAGAGTTAACGGCCACACTTCCACAATAGTGTAAAGATGCTTTCTCTATTAAAAATCACTAACATTTCCGTTTTCTAGCGTTTTCTAAAAAGCTGCTTAACAGTTTTATTCAGGTACTTTTTGGAACTAAAGTAAATTTCGACACAAGGCTAATTTTTAACTTTATTTTATAAGCAGACAGCTTTTTTGTAGATTTTTTTAAGAAAAGCAACTTGAATAAACGCTTTCCTTACTTTTTTATCTTTAAAAATTGGTGGTTTCTTGTTTCTGGGTTTTTTGACTTGATGTTTTTGCCTTGAAAATCAGTATTTCGGAAGGGTTTACTCATTTTTTTTGCAATCTGTCATTTTTTTGCAATTGTTGCGATGTTTCTAATAGAAATTTCTTCACAAAATTCATAAAATTAATTTATTCTTTGGACTAATTATACTAAAAGTTGTTTTGCATCAAAATTATACATTTTAGTGTGCTTATTCTTGAGTGCCGTGGTTGTGATCTCGTTCTGCAACGTTTTGCAACTTTTGTCGTTGTATTCGCAAGCATTTCGGCGAGGAGAAACAGCAATATTTTTGAGGTAGCTTTTTGAGCTTTAAAAAAAAAGTATTCTTTTAGGCCTCCCCGCCTCACCGCCTCACCGCCTCCCACCCCCAATTTCATTTGCTTTTCTACGCCGTTATCACGTCCGTTACCAAATGTCGTTTTTGCACTATTTGGAGGTAAATCTTATAATGATTGAATTTTATTTTTCTGTTTTAGTTTTTTTTCGAAACTGGTTTTGAACGTTACTTTGTCAGAGTGGAGTATTTGGTTGAAGTGTCAGAGTGGAGTATAAGGTTGTTTCTTTTTCAGATCCTAATGGATCACATTCATGGCAGCGAATGGGTCGTCTTCATCGTAATGATGATTCATTTGCTTCTAGCTCCCGGGACAAAGGTACTTACATTGATTGCTTGTAGTTAATCGAATAGTTTGGGTAGAAGAGTCGTTCAACAGACAGGCCACCCACGATCTGATCTACGAGAATTACAACATATCAAACGTAATTTACTTGCTTTATTGTTTTTATGTAAACATTTTAGCGTGACCATAATGACTTTCCTGGTGTCGTTCCGCGGACTTTTGTCGGACCCTTTGCTTTAGCCAGCTTTGGATTCCCGTTACGAATCGTGTTTTGGCTTTTCGGTATTCAGAAAATATGGATGCTATTTGCAGGTATATTTCGAATTATTTTGCATCAAAAATTATACATTTTAGTGTGCTTATTCTTGGGTGCCGCGGTTGTGATCTCGTTTTGCAACTTTTTTCGTTGTATTCGCAAGCATTTCGGCGAGGAAACAGCAATATTTTTGAGGTAGCTTTTGAGCTTTAAAAAAAAAGTATTCTTTTAGGGTTATCACCGCCTCCCACCGCCAATTTCATTTGCTTTTCTACACCGTTATCACGTCTTTTACCAAATGTCGTCTTTGCCCTATTTGGAGGTAAATCTTATAATGATTGAATTTTATTTTCTGTTTTAGTTCTTTTCATCCTACAGGAGTGGTTCGACGGCCAACACCAAACGGCCGTTTGTTGGGCGACAGCGGTAACATTTTTATTCAGGTACTTTTTGGAACTAAAGTAAATTTCGACACAATGCTAATGTTTAACTTTAGATGCGAACTGGTGTTGCTTTTCGCTCCAATATTTCTATCTTCCATTCTCACACGACAGCTGCCACTCTTTGGGCGAAATGGAGCGCTCTTTGCGGGAGCCACAACTGCATTAAAAGTTTTGGGTTGGTCATTTGCTGATTCACAGTGAAATTGGTTTTAGCAATTTCGGTACCGCTCGATTCGCTGCTTTGGGAACGTTGGCTTTGGCCGGAAGGAGAAGTCGGATGGTTCAACATCATTTTAAATCGAAGCCACGAATATGGAGTATGGTTTATGAAGAGCGAAAAAAAATTGATATTGATACAATTCAATAATTGTTCACTCAAGCTTGAGCTAAGGGATTTAAAAATAGAAAATGGTGTTAAATACGTAACGTTAATTGTTGAAACTCAGGCCCGTTCGTTTGGCGACAGCGGCCACATTTTTATTCAGGTACTTTTTGGAACTAAAGTAAATTTCGACACAAGGCTAATGTTTAACTTTATTTTATAAGCAGACAGCTTTTTTTTCGAAGATTTTTTAAGAAAAACAACTTGAACGAGCGTTTTCCTTACTTTTTTATCTTTAAACATTGGTGGTTTCTTGTTTCTGGGTTTTTTTTGACTTGAAAATCAATATTCCGAAAGGGTTTACTCATTTTTTTTGCAATCTGTCATTTTTTTGCAATTGTTGCGATGTTTCTAATAGAAATTTTTTCTCAAAATTCATCAAATTAATTTATTCTTTGGACTAATTATACTAAAAGTACAAATTGAGATAAATAGTTTAGCGATTTTTGCGATTTTTGTGATTTTTATTTTCCACCACATCCACCACCGCATGAAGGAGCTGGAGAACCTGGAAAAGATATATTTTCTCTAATAGTAGTGCACCCCGGCGAGTTGATGCCTATTTTACGGTTTCCAATTTTTCCCAGAAGCTCAACACTCAAATCCGCCACCAGATCTCATCATCAGCTACATTTTCCGACCCCACATCGATCGGTTCTGATAAGCGGTTCTCGAGATTTCGTGGAATTTAGGCAAAGCTTAAGGTGCACTAGTATGCATTAATTTAGGAGCAATTTTCATAACCTAGTGGCTTTAACGGGAAATGAGTTTGATAAAGAAGCGCTAAAGGGAATCTGCCAAAGGAACGAACCACTTCTGGACTCTGACCTCGCGTTAAATTTGAAAAAGGACCGTATTTTCTCTAATAGTAGTGCACCCCGGCGAGTTGATGCCGATTTTACGGTTTCCAATTTTTCCCAGAAGCTCAACCCTCTAATCCCCCACTAGATCTCATCGTCAGCTACATTTTCCGACCCCACATCAATAGGTTTTCATAAGCGGTTCTCGAGATTTCAAGGAATTTAGGCGACGCTCAGGGTGCACTACTATTAGAGAAAATACGGTAGTAGATAAAAAAGATGTTAAAATTAAATAATTTTAAATAATTTATATATATTTTGAACAATTCTAGAGAAGTTTTTAGCTTTGATCTAGTAAATTCTAGACTTGTAACAAAAAATATCTGTCGATTCTCTTTTCCCGTTAGTAATTTAAGGTTTTTCGTGCTTTTCTCATCAACAATCCTTCCATTTTGACTTTTTTACCCTAGCTTACCCTAGCTGACCCAACTCTTTGAATACATTTGATCTACCGTAATTCGTAGAACTATTTTGCCTATCATTCGATGAAGAACAAAATTGCGCATCAAATGAGACCAAAATTAACTAAAAATTTAAAATCCATGCAAAGTTATGAGGTAAAAGGTTAGTCCGGCCCATAATGGGCTTTTGGCTAATAAATTTCTGTGGATTTTAAGTTAATTAAGTTATTTTGATATCATTCGACACGCAATTTTGTTCTTCATCGAATGATAGGCAAAATAGTTCTACGAATTACGGTAGATCAAATGTATTCAAAGAGTTGGGTCAGCTAGGGTACGCAAAACCGCACACAGCAAAAGCCACTCAGAAAAAACTCGACGAGCTTGGCTGGGAGCTTCTACTTCTACCAACTGATTCACCCGACCTAGCACCCTCAGATTACTATTTGTTTTGATCGTTAAAGCGATTTCTCTATGGAAAACTTTTCGATGATCATGCACAAGTCAAAAACAAACTTGATTTCTTCTACTTTCTACTTTGTTCTGAAGGACGCTCAGTTTTTTTGAGAATTGTATCAAGAAAGCGCGCCAAAGATGGCAAGAAGTCATCGATAATAATGGAGAATAATGAAGAAACCTTTTGGCTAATGTTCTTTTTATTGCGTTCTATGAAATAAACAATTTTTTGCCTAAAACGATCGTTAACTTGCCAACCAACTTGCCAATAATATTCAATCTTTTAAAGTGCTTATGCTAAGAGCAGGTGCTGGTGGAATTCTAGAGGTTTGGTGTAGTTGGTGAATCCTATGCATAACATCGATGCTGATCTCGACTCAAAGCAGTTGATGAGAGTTTTAGTGACTCATTGAAGAAATTCGGCATCAAGCCGTCGATAGTCCGTTTTTTGCAAGACAACGCAAAACCGCACACAGCAAAAGTCACTTAGAAAAAACTCGACGAGCTTGGCTGGAAACTTCTACCAAATGCGCCTTATTCACCCGACCTAGCACCCTCAGATTACCATTTATTTCGATCGTTAAAGCGATTCCTCTATCTCAAAACTTTTCGATGATCATGCATAAGTCAAAAACGAACTTGATTCCTACTACTTTCTACTTTGTTCTAAAGGACGCTCATTTTTTTGAGAATTGTATCAAGAAAGCGCGCCAAAGATGGCAAGAAATCATCGATAATAATGGAGAATAATGGAGAAACCTCTTGGATTAATGTTCTTTTTATTGCGTTCTATGAAATAAACAAGTTTATGCATAAAACGATCGTTTGTAACTTGCCAACCTAATAGTTTGATACTGGCTAGAATCCTGGTTATAGCCATTTTTGCCTACGGTGAGTACCAATCTACGATGAGTACCAATCTTTTTTAAGTACTAGATAGACTACTGCACTTTACTATGTACTGTAGTCTGTACAACGAACAACTTACAGCTTGGGGCCGGTGGTGGGCATGGTGGTGGACACGGGGGTGGGCAAGGTGGTGGGCAAGGTGGTGGACACGGGGGTGGGCATGGTGGCGGGCATGGTGGAGGGCATGGTGGGCTGGAAATAAATAGATTTTGGGAAAAATAGCTTTACTAGATTGAATTTTACTGTAAATACTATCTATTTTCATCTGATGTTTATCATTCTCCAGACTGTAATCTATTTCTTGAGACTTACGGGCATCCACATCCACCACCGCCGAACAAGTTGAAGCAACCCGAGGCGGAGGCGATGAGAGCGACGAAGACGATGAAGAATTTCATTTTCTGATGGCTGAAAGGTTTTAAAGCTTCTAGAATTCGAATCTTTCCTTTCATTTTGAATAATTAATCAAACGACTATAGAAAAAAGTTTAGAAAGTTAGAAAGTGAATTAGAAAGTTCACTGGTTATTGTAAGATGAGATTTCTATAGGAAAATTGGCATTTCAAGCTAACCTTTGCTTACTATGAGACTATAGAAAGTACCGTAATCAAAAGTGAATCCTTAACCCCATTAAAGTCGCTAGTTATTCCTCGATATTTTCAAGACAAACCTGGAATTACTGGAGAACAGTTGTTGAGAACAAGACTGGAGAACAAGAAGCTGATTGAGCGATGATGTCCATCATTCCCCCAGTAATCCTTATATACCCATAATCAAAGGATAAGATCTTCTCATTTAACCTTTTCTCTTTCTCTTTCCCTTTCCCTTTCCCTTTCCCTTTCCCTTTTCCTTTCTCTTTCCCTTTCCCTCTTCCCATTTCCTTTGAACTTCTCATAAATTCTCAATTCTTGATTATTACAGGGTTATCCAAAAAAGAGGGATGAAATTAAATGAATTAAGAGAATTTTTGACTGTTTTGTTATTGTTTTCTTTTTTTTTCTTTTCCCATTTTTCACTTTATCGTCACACTTTATCAATTTTCATCGAAACACTCTTTCACCTCAGAGCAAGGTGCAGAGTGTCAGCTTTAGTCCAAAAAACGAACGTTTTGTTGCTCTCTCTCTCTCAATCTTGCAAGCTTTGACTAGACTCAGGTCTAGAAATAGTTAGATCAATAATTAAAAGCTATCAACAATGAAAAGCAATCAATAATTAAAAGCAATCAATAATTAAATCAATAAGCAAAAAATAATTTGGTGGATCGAAAAATGGGCGACTTTTTAGTGTTCTAGTTTCTAGTGGCCACAATGTCTTCCCGGATTTCTAGAGCTATTGCATCAACTCATTCACCCTGATTCTTTCTCCAATTTTCTAAGTCTAGTCTCATGCCATTTTCCCTTTGATTTCGATAAGGATACAACGTAAATGTCTAGCAAAAGCTAGGGAAAAATCAAAATTTAGGAAACACTTTTGAAAGAAAATGCTGAACAAAATGCTGAACAAAATACGGATTTTGTCTAGAAAATGCATTCAAGCGATCACCAAGCGAAATTGATTATTTTCACGAATTGTTTTCTAGAATTTAAACGAAACAAAACCCTTTTGTACAAAAATATTATTTGCGTGCTTGGTACTCTTCACTCAAGACGCGTTATTTCTTGTTTCGAGATATCTGATCTCACGAACTAAGACATTTTATTCAATAGCCGACTGACTCGGAATTTTTGGGCGATAGAAGTGAGAATTCTAAATTCGGTTCCTATCTCTCTAAATTCGGCTCCTATCTTTCCAAATTCGGTTCCTATCTCTCTAAATTCGGCTCCTATCTCTCTAAATTCGGTTCCTTATTTCTCTAAATTCGGTTCCTAGCTCTCTAAATTCGGTTCTTATCTCTCCAAATTCGGTTCCTATCTCTCCAAATTCGGTTCCTTATTTCTCTAAATTCGGTTCCTTATTTCTCTAAATTCGGTTCTTGAACTTGAGCAATTTTCACACAAAATCGACAATTGAATTAAAAGCGACGATAAAAACAGAAACAATTTCGTCTTAATTAGGACACAACTTTCGCACGATGAAAGGAATACAGAAAAAAGTAAAAACAAGCATCAACATCAACATAAACATAAAATGAACAACATTTGCCTGATATAGGCTTTAACACAAGATATTCAGCTAACAAGCTACAAAACAATAAATGATTTGGGGCGCGAAATAGAATGAAGGCGCACGGATTTCCGCAATACTTTTCCAATTTTTAGGCTGTCAGAGTTAGGTAACTTTTTGGTGGCTATTCGCCACACCAAGCGAAATTGATTTTTTTCACCAATTGTTTTCTAGAATTTAAACGAATCTTTTCTCGTGGACGCAAATCAGTGTTTTTTTTCTTGCGTTAATGGTACTGTGTCCCCCAAGAAACTCAATCGAAACCCAAGGAACTCATTTTTCTTTTCCATTCAGCATTTCCTTTAAAAAAGACTTAAGCATAGTTTTGTCTATAAAAATCGTTCTAAAAAATTCGATCAACGGGAGGAAAGCTGAGTAAATATTGAAAAGATTTCATGTTTCAAAGTAGCATGGAATGACTGAATTTCATTTTGAGAAGAGAAAAAGTCATCAGTTTGCATATATAAGAGTACAAAAACTATTGAAACAAGAGGAGGAAAGTGAGATTTTTGCAAGTTTATAAGTTAGCTAGCTTATCCGGCAAGGCTTTATGTCTAAAAACCTGCACTTGCTTGTTGTTAGATTTTTGACTTATAGAAATAAGTGTCCGGAATGGGTTTGCCCCAGATTTTTGTGAGAGAATAAGATGAAAGAAAGGGCTTTTTGTGAAAGAATAAGGTCACATTGTTGTGGCACCCGGTTACAGTATCGGATTGTACAGGATTCCGGAGACTAAAGAAGTTGAGGGTTTAAAGACCCGTTTAAAGGCCTGGCAATACAGGCCTGGCAATACAGGCCTGGCAATATGGGCCTGGCAATATGGGCCTGGCAATACGGGCCTGGCAATACGGGCTTGGCAATACAGGCCTGGCAATACGGGCTTGGCAATATGGGCTTGGCAATATGGGCTTGGCAATATGGGCTTGGCAATATGGGCTTGGCAATATGGGCTTGGCAATACGGGCCACCCTTGAGAACGCTTGGCGAGAAGGTAGGGCGTGTCCCGCTCGTCTCAAGCTTTCAGAAGAGCTTTCTTCAAAGAATCAACTTTTGGATGGGGTTTTGAGCATGCTTTTGCTTCTAATACACTCCATACAGAATAATCTAGAGGGTCGAGGTCTGGACTTGATGGTGGCTACAGGTTAAAATCGATGAAATCGGGGAAATTCTGCTTGCAACAATCTTGAACGATGCGAGATTTGTCTACGGATCCCTTTTGGCTTTTGGAAATTTATAAGCTTTTATTCCAAGACGATTTTTGACAATACGGCCAATAGAAGTTCGAGAAATTCCCATATTCTTTGCCATCCTGGCCTGCGAACAAGTGGCTTTCAAGCGTAGCTGATCTCGAACCGATTCTCGAACCTCGAAAAAAAATAGCCCTGAATTTCAGCTGATCTAGCTTTACGGTAGGTATTTAAACGTAATAGCTTTTAAAAAACTAAATCGGATTCAGAAACATTTTTCTACTCGACTTTGACTGGCATCAAAGTTTCAATTCTCCAAAAAAAAGCCATTGCTCTCATCAAAAAGAGTCCAAATCGATCACCAAGACATCACACAGCACTCATTTCATTAACCAATTTTTATTTTATTTAATCAGCTGCATTTTTTACATAAATGTGCGGGCAACGAGTCCATTCGAACAATTTTTTTTCGCTATAAAAGTCATCGAAACGTTGACGGAACGTCAAATTCAAAAGTTCTAACCATCGGAATTTCGATCATTTCATCCATAAATTCAATTTCTTTATTGTTATTTATAATTTTAGATTGTATAGAGTTAGGGTAATTGTATAGAGTTAGGGTCAATCGGACCCTAATAGCACGAGAATCCAATCCAATCCAAGCCTAATAGTAAGCCTAATAGTAAACCTATTTGCAAGAACCAACCAGATCCGATCCAGACTTAAAGCCAGATAAGACAAGGATGAAGCCAGGGCTTGATTTTACAATCTTGATCTTTACTCGAGATCCCCATGATCGATTTTATAAGATGAACTTGGTCTCAAGCGAAAAACCAAAAAGATGAAGCCAGCTTATATTGGTGCCTTTTCCTTGTTAGCCTTTCTAGCCCTGGGTTGGCCTGGCTAAAACAATCCTGATACTGTAATCGATACTGTAATCGTGCTGTTCACTGTAATCTATTCAATACAGTATTCAATACAGTATACCCTAATGGTATGAGGATCCAATCCAATCCAATCCAATCCAATCCAATTCAATCCAATCCAATTCAATCCAATCCAATTCAATCCAATCCAATCCTAATAGTAAGCCTAATAGTATGCCTAATAGTAAGCCTATTTGCAAGAACCAACCAGATCCGACCCAGACCTAAAGCCAGATAAGACAAGGATGAAGCCAGGGCTTGATTTTACAATCTTGATCTTTATTCGAGATCCCCATGATCGATTTTATAAGATGAACTTGATCTCAAGCCAAAAACCAAAAAGATGAAGCCAGCTTATATTGGTGCCTTTTCCTTGTTAGCCTTCCTAGGCCTGGATTGACCTGGCTAGAACAATCCTGATACTGTAATCGATACTGTAATCGTGCTGTTCATTGTCATCTATTCAATACAGTATTTCTTTTCTCAGCTCCACGGAGCTAAACAAATTTCAACATTGATACAATATATAAACCGCCAAACTTTTTGAATCTTCATAAACCTTCTCTTCATTTCATTTCTTCTCGAAGTTTCACTTAAATTAGTTTTTTTTGGATATCTTTGAATCTTTCCTTTCCAGGGTAACTCTATCCAACCATGTGGAAATTGTTGGCATTTGGCGGCTTTATCGTTGTCGTTTTGTCGCAAACCGTTCCCGACATCGATGATGACAATATTCTTGATGGAGACACTTTCAAGCATTTCAAGAATTTCCAGAACAAGTGAGGAGATTTGAGAATTTAAATCTTTAACATAAATCGACAAAGCGAAAACTGCTGACACGGTTATTGGGCATTTGATACGCCCTTTGCCATTGGCAATCTAACCTTAAGCTCAAATTTCTTCGTGTTTGGTTGTCTAATTTCAATATTTTAATATCATTAGATGCGCCAAGTCTTTCTCTATTGATTGGTACAAAAACTATTTAAATTGGACAAACGGACACCGAGCAATTTGAGCTTAAAGTTGCCAATGGTGAAGCGGCGAGGCATGTATAAATGGTCCGTCGCCCTGACCCTTTGTGCCATTGGCAATCTTTGAGCTCAAATATCTCTGTATTGGGCTGTCCAATTTCAATCTTCTTGGTATCACTAGATGCGCAAAGTCTTTCTCTATCGATTGGTACAAAAACTATTAAGATTGGACAGCTCAACACCAAGAAATTTGAGTTCAAAGTTGGATTGCCAATGGGAAAAGGGGCGGGGCGCGTATAAAAGGTCGCACAATGTACAGATCTTTTTTATGTTCTCTTTTTTCAGATGCAAAGTCCAGTGCAGTGCTGGTGAGGCTGGATGCAAGCAACGCAAGCAAAACTTTGGCAAAAACATGAAGAAAATGGCGGCTTGGAACAAGACTTGCACAACGGATGACGATTGCCAGTGAGTTGTTGAAAAATCTAGAAAAATCTAGAAAAATCTAATGAGAAATCTTCTGAAAATCCTTCTAATTCACTCATTTTTCAGTCACACCCTTGGTTGGACGTGTTTCACGGGACACTCGAAAGAGGAGCTTCAAATGGTGAGGGGAATTTGCACATAAACGAGTATCAATAGAAAACCGTAATGCCAATGACTTTGTTTATTTGATGAATTACGAGTTTTTACCAGTAATCCATCAAATAAACAGATCAAATCTAGTAAAAAATAAAGCTAACTTTTGACACAGAAAAAAAATCCTGTTTTCAGTACGTGATGAAGAGTTCAAAGTTGCCAAAAAAACCAACAAAGAAGCCGGTGAATTCCACGCAAATTCGCGCTAAAAGAGTTGGTTTTAAAAAGTTTTTTAATACATTTAAGTGAAACGTTTGCAATACAATATAATATTTTGAAAACAACAAGACATTAGGCTGTCTACAGTACTGTTTACAGCACTGTCTACAGTACTACTGTCCAAAAAAAAGTGTTAAAAGGCTATACTTTGAAATTTTCAATCAATTTCAACCAAAACCAAAGAGAAAACACGTAAGAATGTCGAAAAGCGCTTAAAATTTGCTTATTTTTGAAGCTATTGGGTTTTAACTATGGCTTAAATGTGCTTATAATATTAATAAAGCTTTTTAGAATAGTTTTACTTTACAGCTTTAGTTTAGAGCTTTAGTTCAGAGCTTTATTTTAGAGCTTTATTTTAGAGCTTTACTTTAGAGCTTTACTTTATAGCTTTACTTTTTATGTTTAAGGCCTCTGTCGGTAATTTTGATTGGAGAACAACTGGAGCAGTGAATCCGATTAAAGATCAAGAACAGTGCGGAGATTGTTGGTCGTTTGCGTGAGTTTTAATAACAGTACTAACCGCTACTTTTTACATTTATCAAATAAGAATTATTGCTTAAATGATTTGAATTTTTTTAGTCGAAAAGATTTGAATAATTTTAAGTCTGAAATTAGCAATAAAAAAGTTCACAGCTTTTGTTATAGTTTGAATGTTAAATTTGATATTTTTCAAAAGATATGCTAATTTTAAACTTAAAACTGAATAAGTTACGATAAAATTTGCATTTTATATTGTTTACAGATCGGTGGCCGCCATTGAGATTACGTCAAACTATGTGAATGGACGAATCAACGCGAGTCGACGACAATACTCAGAGCAAGTGGGGCTTAGCTTTGATGTTCGGTGAAAGACCATTGTTCTGGAACTAGAAAACAAGCCAGATTTAGATCCAGTGTTGGAACCAGATTTAGATCCAGATTTAGATCAAGATTTAAATCCAGATCAAGTCAGTAAACCAGACAGAACTGGGCCAGACGGACTGTTTTTTTGACAAGGGAAATACCCCAGCTCGTCACCGATCGCCAAACGTCCAAGGAATCGAGAATCGATTTAGAATTAGTTATAGAAAAGAATAGAATAGACAAGTTATAGAATCGATTAAGCTGATCAAAATGCCTTAAAATTAGTTTTACCTAAAATTAGCCATACTCACCCAAATTTCGCATAAAAAGCAAAAAATAGAAGACATGGAAGGCAGAGAAGTTTGGAAAATCTTGCTTAAAAGGCTTTTTGTCGAGAGGGTAGTTGTGGGCGCTTGGTCTAGTGGATAAGGTCCTTATTTACAAAGAGAGCGTCCGATTCTTTCTCGGGTTCGACTCCTCGTCCCCCCCAATTCTTTTACTTTTTTGAGTTTAACGAAACTATTTAGTTTCTTCTGATTTTGAAAATATTTTTGAATATATTCCTTCTTTCTTCTTTCTTTCTTCTTTCTTTCCTTATTTCAATAAATAAAGAAAATTGAATAAATGTATACAACAGTAGCCGTAGCCGTAGCCAACATGCCAGTAGGTTATTTTGACGCCGGAGAGTTTAAGCGAGATGTTGAAAACTTCTATGCCAAAAATTGCGTATGAGTAAAAAAAATCTAATGGTTCAGATGATATTGGGCTTTTCTTTTCAGTGGTTGACAGACTGCTCGACGACAAACGGATGCGATGGTGGATGGCCATCGAATGCTCTCGCGTTAGTGAAAAATTTGATCAATGATCAGATTCAACGAATCTAAATAATCAAGAAAATCTATTCACAAATCGATAAGTAAAAATTGACTCAATTATAGTCCATTGGAGTTACTCGTTTCTTTTTCTTTTCAGCTATGTGCAAACGCACGGAATCCCCCGCGGAGCCGCCGACACTTATAAAGGAATTGTGACCAGTTGCCCGAAAAGTATTGTGGGTTTAAATTGAGATTTATAAATGATTTATAAATGACTTCAATTAGCGTTTAAACTACAGAAATTAGAACTGAAAATCGCGAAATTACAGGCCCTTGAGAAGCCAGTCAGCGCACAAAGCGATCTCACCGGAAACCCAGTGACGATTCAACAATTCGTCTTGAGCAAGGGACCCGTTACAGCTGGTAAAACCGCTAGAATTCCCTAAAATACCAAAAACCCATTCCATTTTCCCATTCAGCTTTCATGGTTTGCGAGGATTTCATGTACTACACCTCGGGCATTTACAGCACGGATTGCACCGAGACGAATCCCAACTATTTGGGTGGACATGCTGTGACAATCATTGGATACGGTAAGTGATTGGTTATAGAACTTTTAGCTAATCAATATTTCTCTAACTAGCCTGACCTGGTCTCTATTTCCCTCACAAACCTGACTCCACTAAACGTCCTTAGCTAGCGTCCCTAGCGTCCCTAGTGGCTCCTCTGGCTCCTTGCTCTGACCCGGTCTCGTTTCTGGTTTTGGCTTGGCCTGGGGCTCGGAAGCTAAACTTAGCTAAACGGAAGCTAACCTAGCTTCCTAAAAAGCCATAATATCCTACCCTGGCCGTAATTCGAATTGTCATAGCTGATTTGTAGAGCGTTTGCCCGGTAAGCGAGAGGTCGCGGGTTCGATGCCCGATCATGCTTTTTATTCGCAGCTTCAATCCATAAAAGAACTTGTATTTTCTCCATCAATCTCCAAATCATTGCAGGAACCTCGGCCACCGGCGTTGACTACTGGCTGGTGCGCAATCAATGGGGAACCGGCTGGGGAATCGGCGGATATTTCCAGGTAAAGCCTAGCTAAATGTAAAAATGGTATTCAGTTAATAGGGCTTATACTCTAGCTTTATTTACTGATTTAAAGCTAATTATTGTTTAAAAATACTACAAAGAAGTGTTTTTAGAAGTTTTCCAAAAAAAAGCAAAAATTTGGTGGCAAGGGGGATTGAACCCGCGAGCAAGAAAAGCTTAGGTTTCGGACACCAGCGCACTATCCTCTAGGCCATAGCTGGTTTTGCTGCCTTGTTGATCTATAACAAGGCGGCTGGCCTTGTTATAGGTCACTTTGTCTAAAAGTGTCAAAACTTTGGACACTTTTTTTTCGAAAACCAGGGCTTATGAGGAAAAAATAAAAAATATGTGTTTTTTAGAATTCTGGAGCGTTTTATAGCTTTTGAGAGCTTTGTAGCTTTGTAGCTTTTGAGTTTTGTAGCTTTTCTAGTTCTATAGCTTTTGAGAGGCTTCGAAAATCGGTGATAAGTTGAAAAAGTCCTCTACGGAAAGATCTACCAGTTTGCGGAAAGATTACGGTCGATTTTCCATTCTAAAATTTGCCTATACTGTAGCTAGACAGGACAAGATTACGGTATCTTTTCAGATTCGCCGTGGAAAGGACACCTCATCGATCGAAGCCTGGGGAGTCACTGGGCTCACGTGCCCCAAGATCGCCTAAAACCGTAAGACCATTTCTATGTACCGATTCACTTAATGAATATACATGAAAATAAAAATTACATAATTTATCCATTTATTCATTTATTCCATTCACAAGTTACTGTAACGTTTACAAATGTAGTACTGGAGAAGCTCGGTGGAGTCACGACCGCGCCAATCCGTAAAATCGCCACACGACGAGTCGTCGAGCAGTACGTCAACCACTGAAAAGAAAAGCACAATCATCTGAAAAATTAAATTTTTTTATCAAGATAAGATTAAATTGTTTTTTCAAGAATTCCCCTAAACTAGAAAGCCACTCTTGTACCCAGTTAGCCACCGCTGATCGCCCCAAGGAATCGAGAATCGATTTAGAATTAATTATATTGGGTTCGGGACTGTGACTCGGCGCCAAACTTTAAAGGGACTTTTTGCACACATAAAGCCTTCTTTAAATATACGTTTGGTTTCATCAAAAGGATCCACTATTTCTCTACAAAATGACTTTTGAGAGATTCCACAAAGCTTTTCTTTCGTGGAGTTTATGGACTCCCAAACACAGCTAGTCAAAATGGCAAAGAGCCCGACTCATCATTTGAACAGTTTATTTCACATAAACCTTCTTTGGTGTTTATATAAAAAAGATAGAGCACATTCAATTACTTAAGTTGCCAAATTTGCAGGAAGATCCCACCAATGGTTTTTTCTAGATGACAGTTTGTAGTTTTTGTGAAAAAATGGCTTTTTCTTGAGCGGAGGCGCTGTTTGAATTTTCTTTTAAATGTCGTTTTGTAGAGAATTAGTTAACCATTCTACTGATATCAAACGCATATTATTTGACGAAGTCTGCTAGAAGTTTTAGACATTTTTTTGATTTTCGGCGCCGAGTCATAGTCCCCAACCCAATAGTTTGTTTGTTGTATCTTGAAACTCAGACAGTTGCTAACTAATTTTATTAATGTTGTTAATGGTTGTATTGCGGATAAAAATGAGTTTATGTCAATTAATCTTTTTAAAAAACTAGTTTTTGATAAAGGCTAACCAAGGCGCAACAATTGTGTAAGTGACTTACAAGATGTCCGTCTATTAGAGGAATACCCCTTCAATAATTATGTTTAATAAATTTGCTTAATTAGCATTAAAAGTTGGTTAATTGGCATTTATCGGATTGTGGTCGGATTAGGATGTCCGAAACCGACCACAAGATAATCAACGGCCGGATTCGGACGTCCGGATCAGATTCGGACGCCTGGTCGGATTCGGACGCCTGGTCGGATTCGGACGTAACAGATATATATTTCTTCCGTCCGGTTAAACAGATCATACTTGTTTCACTTCACTTGACCGTTTTCTTCAAGCCAATCAAAGAGGCAACAAATACCACAAAGAATTTTTAATGTTTTGTGAAACTTTATTTCTCTAATCTACTTGTTTGATTTACTTGATAAAGAATTTACTGGAGGATTTGATGTTTGAATGATGTTTGATTAAGGCAGAAATGACTCATTGATGAAAATAAAAATTACATAATTTATTCATTTATTCCATTCACAAGTTACTGTAGCGTTTACAAATGTAGTACTGGAGAAGCTCGGTGGGGTCACGACCGCGCCAATCCGTGAAATCGCCACACGAAGAGTCGACGGTTAACTGAATAGTGCTTATCGTTTAGCCAATTCGTTCAGCCGTTTATGGTTTCCAGAAATTCAAGCCCCAAACTCACCGATGTGGCCCCGGTTCGTGGAGTTGAGCCGTAGAATCGAACATAGTCGAGCAGTGAGCCGTCTAGCCATGTCCACGCGCCGTTGTTGTACAAGCCTGGCATTGAGTTGAAAGGATTTATTAATATATTGAGGCTAAGTCGTAAAGTTGGATGAAACAACACAAATGAGTGATTTAAAGGAAAAAAAAGAGGCTCAATCAGAGGATTTGGGGTCATTTTTCTGAAGCAGTCAATGACAGGCAAGAAGCAAGAGATCCTGATCTGATTCTTGACCTTGTTTGGCCATACCAGCTGGCATTTCGCAGCTAATTTCATTATGGCAGCTTCCTAAAGTAGGAATCGGTTATTCAAGTTCAAGTTGATCCACAATATGCTTTTTTTTGATTTTTTTGATTGATTTTCATTCTTATTATCTACTTTTGGTGGTTTTTTTTTGAAAAGAGTGTTTATTTTGCATTTAAATGTTGAATTTTAGGGTAAATTTGCAAGGAATATGTGCAGATTGTGTAAATAATATAGAAATTAAAAGAAAAATGATAATGCGATTATTTGCAAAATGCTAGAAGTTGCTTCAAAAGAAAAACAAAAACAAAAAGCCGTATCAGGGACGGAAGCCTGCTCCTCTGGGTGAATCCTGATCCTGAGCCTAGCGCGTTATCCACTAGGCCAGCAACGTACAATAAGATTCAGCTGGAAAAATCTTTCTCAAAGCATCCGTTTTGCTTTGAAGTTTTACACGGTTACACAGCTTACACAGTTTTACTTGGAAAGTCATTTGGGAGATTTCATTTGGGAGATTTTGATTTCAGATTCAGATTCCTCATATCCGATTCTATAAAATGCGCTAGGTGTCCAGACAAAAAGGTCACCTTGATTTTGTGCTTTTTACAAGTTAGGCCAGTCTAGGCAAAATCAGGACCAGTTAAGTAGTGAAACAACAAGATCAAACCCAGTCTAGACCCAGTCAAATCAAAGCATTTCAGGATTACGATTTCGATTTATAAGAAATTCGATGGCTTCGATTCTAGCTAGATTTTGAACTACTTATATCTTGATTCCCGAGTCATCAACGACTTCTCGAGATAGGAAAAGTGATTCCAGGATCAGCGAGCCGGTCGGCTTGGTTTTAAAGTTGAACGCAACCAGACAGATTGGTGATTTAAAGGAAAAAGAAGAACAGACTCAATAAAGGGTGCGTGAAAAGTTTTGTGGCCGATCCAAGAATCATTTGGATCGACGTCGATCCAAGAATCATTTGCATGGCTTGAACAAAGGAATTTAGAGAAAAATGGAGTTCAAATTTGCAAGTTTGTCTATTTTTTACCTTAGAAATACTTCTTCACAATAAGATTTTTGTTTTGAAAATCTGTTTTTTTGCTGAATTGCCCACTAACCCTACCCAGCTTCTTTGAAATTCTGCCCTTTTTAAGCACGGTCGAAAATTTTGACTTTTCTCTGACTCTGACTAAACTCTGACTAATCTGCGGCTCGTTTTAAAGTGAAATCTTTCTTTCTTTTTTTCTTTTTTTTCTAAAATTATGGAAAACTCTGAATTTCACTCACCACCAAGCCAAACATCGTTTTTGTAAGAATCACCTGTTCCACACGATGCGGTCACTCCGAGAGTTAACCCTATAGAAATCATTAAAAAAAAAAATCAACGGGCTTTAAACAAACCAACAATGAAACTATTCTCTTGATAGCTGTGCACCGAAGCCAAACTAGAGCCCATTTGCGAGCAGCGCTGCATAGCGTCATAGAAAGTTGCGTCGTTTCCCACCTGTAACTTTTTGAATATTTTCAGATATTGTTTAGCTTAACTGTTCAGCTTAACTCTACTGTTAAACTAGAATTAAGCAAACAAATCGATTACAGTGGTCGTTTTGGTGTTTCTGAAGCAAATTTCTGAACGATCCTCTACTGCAAGAAAGGCGCTTGGAACTGGTTTCTGACTTGCGATGTTTTTCCGAGAAAATTTGGCGCTTTAAAGAGTGGTAAAACTACCGTACTCACTCTAATTTGCAAAGAAAGCGCGAAATTTCATTTTTCCTCATTCTTGTTCGTTTCATTTTATTCTTTTTACGTTTTTCTGATGTGGTTGCGTTTGTTTTTGCAAAAAAACAAAGAGAATAAAGCTAATTTACGTTTTTAACAGCATTTCTGAAAGCTTTCTGCCGGAATTCTGTGGCGAAAGCTTCAATTTCAATAAAGTTTCAATAAGGTTGTTAAAAGTCGAAAGTTCTGCATCTGCAAACGAAGGTTCTGTCATAAAATGAGACTCAGTATATCTCTGAAGTTCAACTGCCACCATAAGATCCACCTTCAAATTCTGATTCAGAAAAATGACATCGATACTCCAGAGTCTTAAAAACAGTTGAAAAATTTTGATTTTTGAAAAGGCACAGTACTGGCTATGAGTTACCGTGACTCCAACTTTGAAGCTGAATTTCTCGGTGAGCTTGATGGCTAGCGGAATGTCGAAATGGCAGATTACAAGGTCAGAATTTTGTCCGAACGCACATGTGAAGTGGATAGGCAAGGTAAAAAGTCACAAGATCAAAGCTTCCGCCATAGAAAATGATAAAAACCACTTGAATTGACATTATTGGGATCAAGTTCGTGGAGTAGATCGTCGAGAAGTAAGTAGGTCTAAAACAACTCTACAAACAAAGCTCCCGCCAAAGGAAATGATAAAAACCACTTAATTTAACATTAGTCAGCATCAAGTTCGTCGAGCAGATCGTCGGGAAGTAAATGGATCTAAAAAACTCTACAAACAAAGCTTTTGCCATAGAAAATACTGTTAAAAACGTAACTTAGCTTTATCCTCTTTGTTTTCTGTAAAAATAAACGCGAATAAAACATCAAAAACATCAGAAAAACGCAAAAAGAATAAAATGAAATGAAAAAGAATGAAAAAAAATGAAAAACGAACAAGAATAAAAAAAATTAAATTTCCGTCTTTTTCCGCAAATTAGGAAGGGTACGGTAGTTTTACCACGCTTTAAAGCGCCAAATTTTCACGGAAAAAGGCCGCAAGGCTTCTGATCTAGCTCTAGTTTAGCATACAGACTCTAAGCTCCGTTTGGAAGATGCCCGATGAAAAAGAACTTACATAGTAGCAATATTTTGTGAGCGCATAGTAGCTCCACCCGGGCGGACACGTGCTACCAATTGGAGGCACTGAAAAGGCAGACGATAGACATTGAAAAATGCTGATCTCAATTCCACCCCTTGTTTTTTGGGCAATTGTTACGAAATCTTATCTACAAGCTGGTAAAACCGCTTTCTATTTGTAGAAAAGTTTTGAAAATGATCGCCTCGGGAATGGGCTGAGAAAACGGAAATTCAATTAGGTTTAGGTTAGAGTTTTTCAATTTTTATGTATGAGAATTAGTCCTTTCCTATTTATCCGCACTAAATTTTCTAAATTTTCATTTTAAAACTTTAAATCAACTGTTTCCAATGAGGGATTGGAAACAGTTGCTATATTTGAATAATGCTAATTTTGCGGCGCTCGAAACAGGATTGTACGATTGTACCCGATTTCTCTCTTTCACCATAAAGATAAAATTTTAACCTGTAGGCATAGTGGTGACCGTTTGTTGCACAAAGCAAATCGCTGGCAAACGATCATTTTGACAGCTCATTGTGTACCAGAAGTTATCGTTTGAGTCCACCGTTGCACAATCGTCGCCAAGGGGTTGACCTAGAGCCAGAGTTTGTTTCAAACCCAGTATTGCCAAGGCTGGCTTTGAGTCATTCGAAAGGGAAAGGCACCGAGTCTGGCTGGCCTTTTGACCGATGAATAAGAGAGTCGAATTTATGCACCAGCTTTCAGAAATGTTAGATTTTCCAATACTTATTTACTGATTTTAAAGATTCCAGCTTTTGCAAGATTCCATTTCAGCTTTTGCCAGATTCCATTCCAGTTTTTGCAAATGAAGTTACAGAAAGCGGTGTAGGAAACTCGAGCCAAGAACTCAATGAATATACGTAGGAAAATAGTTTTTAAAATAAGCAAAAAGTTTAGCGAGGGTGGGACTAGAGCTAGACGACAATGGAAGTGACAGGTTCGGTAGTCTAGCAAACTATCCACTAGGCCACCAGAGCAGTTGTTGAGGTAGCGTGTAGCGGATTCTTAAGGAGTCGGAAATCATAAGGAGCTTCATAAGGAGCTTCATAAGGAGCTTCATAAGGAGCCTCATAAGGAGCTTCATAAGGAGCCTCATAGGAGCTTCATAAGGAGCTTCATAAGGAGCTTCCTAAGGAGCCTCATAAGGAGCTTCATAAGGAGCTTCATAAGGAGCCTCACAAGGAGCCTCATAAGGAGCCTCACAAGGAGCCTCATAAGGAGCCACATAAGGAGCTCGAAATTCTAGATGATTTTCTATGCCAAATATCTCGCGTTTGCGAAGTGTTCTGCAAAAACTAAAAACGGATTCTCGATCCCCATGACCGACTCTATAAGATGGATTTGGTCTTGAGTCAAAAAGTCAGCTTGACACAGTGCTTTTCCCTTTTCAACTAGAGTCAACTCAAGATATTTTTAAGCGGCTTACAAGCTTGAGCTGTTCTTTTAAAAAGTATCTGGGCTAAGCCGAAGCCAGGATAGAATTTGTTTTCTCGTTCTAGCCTGACCTTGCCAAAGAATTATTTGAAAAGTCAGTCGACTGTCCTCGGATTTTACATCTATTTCTAGATATCCTGGTTTTCTGGGCAATTTATAAGAGCTAGTTAGCTCAAGTTAAACCCTACCAGCTCCCCAATTTGCATAGAGAAATTGCGTTCCATCGAGATTGTAGAAATTGCCGCTGATTGCGTCTCGGCGAGTGCCCAGAAAGACTCTTGGAAAACCATAATCTAGATTGGAACTTGGTTTTGATTAAGCTAAAAACCTCAGCTCATTCTTCTGATCTAACAACAAACCACTAATGATTGAAGTCAGTCGACTGTTCTCGAAAGCGTTGTGCGAGGTGACGAGATGTCCACCGTATCCCTTGCAATCTGTCTCCATTTGATCATAGGTGTAATCTAAAGTGTCTTGAGCTTAGGATTTGAAGGCAGTTAATTGTGCGATCATACTAATCTAAGATCGTTTGATCCAAGAACTTTTGATCCAAGATCCAAGATCAAAGAACAGAATTACTGCACTCAGTAACTCAAGCCTCCAGAGCAAGCCGCCAAGCTCAAGTAACTAAGCCAAGCCAAGCTCAAGCCAAGCCAATCAAGCCAAGCCAAGCCAAGCCAAGCCAAGCCAAGCCAAGCCAAGCCAAGCCAAGCCACAAGCCAAGCCTAGCCAAGCCAAGCCAAGCTCAAGCCAAGCCAAGCCAAGCCAAGCCAAGCCAAGCCAAGCCAACCAAGCGCGCCAGCCAAGCCAAGCCAAGCCAAGCAGCCAAGCCAAGCCAGCAAGCCTGCGTGCCAAGCCAAGCCAAGCGTGCCAAGCCAAGCCGGCCGAGCCAAGCTCAAGCCAAGCCAGCCAAGCCAAGCCAAGCCAAGCTCAAGCCAAGCCAAGCCAAGCCAAGTCCAAGCCAAGCCAAGCCAAGCCAAGCCAAGCCAAGCTCAAGCCAAGCCAAGCCAAGCTCAAGCCAAGCCAAGCCAAGCCAAGCCAAGCCAAGCCAAGCCAAGCTCAAGCCAAGCCAAGCTCAAGCCAAGCTCAAGCCAAGCTCAAGCCAGGCCAGTTATCGTGCCATTAACCCAGGCTTAGCCTTGTTTTGTTCTGGATCTGGCCTTATTTTGTTTCTTACTGACTTGTTTGTTCTTCCTGACTTCAAACTAGGCTTACTAGGCATTCAGCTATGCAAAAATATGCCTAGCTTTGCAAAAATGGCTAATTCTTCTGCTCTAACAAGGCGATTTCCATTTTCAATCCATTTTCAGTCCATTGTGACATCAAATTTTCACAGAAACTCACTTGTTCTGTACACGAAAAGACATCCATTCAGCAAGCTGTCGTAGTTAAACGAGAAAGGGCAATTTTGCGCAGAAATCAATGGAATCGCAAAAAAGCAAACTACTAGCAATCTACTAGCCATGACTTTTGCGTCAATAAATTTCCACCCAAAATTCTCCCCTTCTTATTTATGGCCTTTTCTTGAAGCTTATCACGAGAAATGACTCAAAATCACTGATTCTTCCGGTTTTTTCTTTTTTTTTTCCCGCTCAGCTCACCCGATTTTCAGGAGAAATCATAAAAAAGCCGATTTTACAGAAATTTCCTGGAAAATTTCGTATTTTGCTCAATGAATCATAGAATAAAATTCATCAGCAAATTTTTGGAAAACTTCAAAACTTTAAACCATCACCAAAACCAAAACCAAAGCCTTCAAAGCTTTAAACCATCGATTTGTCTTGTTTAATTGCGCAACTTTAGATGAATCTGAGCACTGAGTAGTCAAGGATTTTCATAGTGTTCTTTGTGGATGTTCTTTGTGTTCCAGATTTCAAAACGAATCCCATCTACGCATCCCATTTTATCACGCTTTAAAGCGTGGTAGAAGCCTAAGTCGATTCTAAGCCGCAAATTTTCTCGAAAAAAGGTGCCAAGGCTTCTGATCTAGCTCTAGTTTAGCATACAGACTCTAAGCTCCGTTTGGAAGATGCCCGATGAAAAAGAACTTACATAGTAGCAATATTTTGTGAGCGTATAGTAGCTCCACCCGGGCGGACACGTGCTACCAATTGGAGGCACTGAAAAGGCAAATGATAGACATTGAAAAATGCTGACCTCAATTCCACCCCTTGTTTTTTGGGCAATTGTTACGAAATCTTATCTACAAGCTGCTAAAACCGCTTTCTATTTCTAGAAAATTTTTCGAAATGATCGGCTAAGAAATGGGCTGAGAAAACGAAAATAGGATTAGGTTTAGTTTAGAGTTTTTCAATTTTTATGTATGAGAATTAGTACTTTCCTATTTGTTGCCGCTAAATTTTCCAAATTTTCATTTTAAAACTTTAGATCAACTGTTTCCAATGAGGGATTGAATGCAAATTTGAATAATGCTAATTTTCCGGCGCTCGAACAGGATCGAACACGATTGTCAGCGAATTTTTGGAAATCTTTAAAGCTTTAAACCATCACCAAAACCATCAATTTGTCTTGTTCAATAGCGCAATGATGAATCTGAAATCTGATGAATCTTGATGAATCTGAGCACTGAGTAATCAAGGATTTTCATAGGGTTCTTTGTGAAGTTCTTTGTGTTCTAGATTTCAAAACGAATCCCATCTAGCCCTTCTCCTTTTTCAAACACCTTTTTATATAAAACTGCAAAACTTGGCAACTTTACAGAGTAGAGAGTTCAACTTTTCAGACAGCCTTTATTTACAACTTTAAGCTCATAGAGGACATCATAATTTGATTTCTAAACCCTCAAAAGTTAACAATAACTTGGTAATACTATTATTTACAATGATTTGACACATATTCTACTTTGTTTTGTCTTTTGGTGGTGAGAAATGGAGTCAAGGGAAACCCCCAAGCAAGCGTTTCTCTCCCTTCTGGACGAATGGCCTCAATTTCCGGGGTTTACGCCTCACGAGACGCCTTAAAGTGGGAAATTCGGAAATCACAACCCTTTCTTTCATGCTTCCTTTCAAAACTTGGAAACACGAAAATACTACTCAATGTGTAGTAGGCTTTGAAGAAGTTACCTTTACCCTTTAGCTTTATCTTTAGCTTTACCCTTTAGCTTTACCCTTTAGCTTTACCCTTTAGCTTTATCTTTAGCTTTATCTTTAGTTTTATCTTTAGCTTTACCCTTTAGCTTTACCCTTTAGCTTTACCCTTTGGCTTTACCCTTTAGCTTTATGTTTAGCTTTATCTTTAGTTTTATCTTTAGCTTTATCTTTAGCTTTATCTTTAGCTTTATCTTTAGCTTTACCCTTTAACTTTACCCTTTGGCTTTACCCTTTGGCTTTACCCTTTGGCTTTACCCTTTAGCTTTACCCTTTAGCTTTATCTTTAGCTTTATCTTTAGCTTTATCTTTAGCTTTATCTTTAGCTTTATCTTTAGCTTTATCTTTAGCTTTATCTTTAGCTTTATCTTCGATATTACGGCTTTACCAGTGTTTTTTCTCCATCATTCTTAACTTTTTGTATCTTTTTAAAGTAGGCTTTTGAAGTCTAAAGCTTTTGAAGTCTGATGCTTTTGAAGTCTGTGCTTTGATGTCTGTGCTTTGATGTCTGAAGCTTTTAAAGCCTGAAGCTTTTAAAGCCTGAAGCTTTTAAAGCCTTGCTTTTCAAGGCTATGCTTTGAAGTCTGTGCTTTGAAGCCTGAAACTTTTGAAGCCTTGCTTTTGAAGGCTGAAGCTTTTAAAGCCCCAATTAGAGTTTTGTTAAACTAAGAAATCTTGAGAAAATCAAGGCAAAAAGACGCTGAAGTCAAATCGCAACGTTCTCTCTGTTTAGTTGCTTCTTTGACCAACAAAAATTCTCAAAAAACGAGAGTTTTGTGCTCTCTATGCGTTCAGAAACTGTTCAAAGATATAGACAAATTTTCTGCCCAAAAATTTGAGTATCATGACAGAGTATCAGCTGTAAATTCGGTTATTGGAGTGGGCGAATCGATTAATGAATTGAATTTATTGAATTTGATTGTTTATTGAATTGAATTTATTGAATTTATTGAATTTTATTGTTTATTGGATTGAATTTATTGAATTTTATTGAAGCTACTGCTTAATTTGAATGTTGGATCAAAAAGGATCAAAAGGCAGGCTTCAAGTGTTGAAGTAAACGGATTCTACAGGGTGCGGCATAAGTATGGTTACAGACTCAAAACCGTGTATCGTAATGAAATATGAACGGATTCATGTCAACTTTATTTAAAATTAACAACAGTAATCATAATTAACAACAGTAATCATTTAAAAAATAACAAATTATTCAATATGGGCACCTTTATTCTTGATAACGGCGGCTTTAAGACGCTTTGGATTTCACGATGGCCCTAGGGTACTTTTTGGAATTTCCGCCCAGGCTTTCTTCAGAGCCTTTTTCAGACTTTCAACATTTGCATGTTTTGTTGTGCATGCTTTTTGCTCCAAAATTGCCTAAACACAGAAATCCATAACATTGAGGTCGAGCGAATTAGCTGGCCATTCCCATCGAAAGAAATTCCTTGCTATTCTGATCGACTTGCTCTTTTTGACCTTAAACCCTTATCCCATCGCCGCATTTATTTTGATTTGGTCTTATGCTATAAAATCATCTTCTCTCCTAACTCTCATCCGGAACTTAAAGGACTCTTTAAGATTTCGAATCACGCCAGAAGAACTCGTAGTCACAACTTTCAGATTACCCCCTTTCAAAGCTTTCATAACCGCCAACTGTATCATTCTTTTGCTTGTCGTGTTCCTCGTATTTGGAATAAGTTACCTTGTGATATTTTTTCGTCTCTGAACTATTTTAAATCCTCAATATATAAGCTCGATCTTGTAGCTCTGTCAATTTTAAATTAGTTTTTAATGTCATATATACACGTGTCTAATTGTAGTTGTGTTTGTATATCAATTATCTTTCTTCGTCTACGCTGTTCAATCTGTTTGCATTGTCACTTTTCCTTGTCGGATAAAGTATATATACATTCATTGGCGGGAATGAAGTCGGGCAAATTGTACTGGTACTTTTCTAAAGCAAACCTAATTACCGTATTATAGAAAAGAATTATATAAAGTGCTCAAATTGAGCATTGATTTATAGCATTAAAATTCTTGTCATTGAAATATATCGGCTTTTGCATAGTTTTCGGGTATTTTGAAAGAAAACGAATATTTTGGGAAAAATCCGGATATTTTGAACGAATCGTCACACTTTAAAGGCCTATAACTTTGTCCAGAGATAATATTTTTGCTAGCTTTTTATATGATTTTACAGAGGAGATTTCAGGCTTTTAAATGATACCAAATGGAGCTTAACTGGATTTTCCATTCCCATCACACAAGTCAACACGACACCCCGGTCGGCTAGGTCTCATTTGCTCGGAATTAGCTCTGATCGCATTTGAGACTTTATGAAGAAGATATTAATGGAAATTCATTTATTCATTCATTACTAAGCACAAGTCGTCAGGATAATAAACTCTTTTAGGTTAAAAGCGTTTGTTTTACACGGTATACGGTATATAAGTATGGTTACAGACTCAGAACCGTGTATCGTAATGAAATATGAACGGATTCATGTAAGCTTTATTTAAAATTAACAACAGTAATCATATTCATTTAAAAAATAACAAATTATTCAATATGGGCACCTTTATTCTTGATAACGGCGGCTTTAAGACGCTTTGGATTTCACGACGGCCCGCAGGGTACTTTGTGGAATTTCCGCCCAGGCTTTCTTCAGAGCCTTTTTCAGACTTTCAACATTTGCATGTTTTGTTGTGCATGCTTTTTGCTCCAAAATTGCCCAAACACAGAAATCCATAACATTGAGGTCGGGCGAATTAGCTGGCCATTCATTGGCGCGAATGAAGTCGGGCAAATTGTTTCGACACCACTCTTGAGTCTTTTTTGCTTTGTGCGCTGGAGCGTCGTCTTGCATCAAGGTCCAGCGCTGATTTTGATAATGTCCTTGACTCCACGGCTGTACTTGTTTTGTGAGAACGTCGAGACACAGGTCTGTGTTAATTTTCAGCCCTTTATCAACGAAAATCAATGCGCCCAGTTGCTGCGCCCAGTTGCTGACTCCTGCTGGATTTGAGTTCCTGTCCACAAATCGGTCACTTTTATTTGCTTCTTGAGGGCTTCGACTGTTTGCTGAAGCAAAAATGGCTTCAGATTTTATTGCAAAATGATTTGTTTACTACAAAAATCAGTCTCTACAAAGAATCCCAAGATACAGTCTATTTCTAAAGCTGAGTTCTTTTTAAGTCTGTCTACTCTGCTTTAAACAGAACAGAAAAACAAAAACAAAAAAAAAAGACAAAACTGAACTATAGTCGCAATCATTTCCCCATTTCATAACTCAATATTCAGCTAAAATTTGAGCTTTTCATTTCCTTTTTATTCAAAACTGCTTGCGTTGATGGGTTTCCCGCTAACTTTATCTCAAACTTTACAAAACTTTTCCCAGTTTCCCAGAAAACTCCTTCAATTCTCGCTCTTCAGCCATTCTTCTTCACTTCTTCTTCTTCACAAAAAGTCAACTCCAACTTTTTTCCTCAATATTTACTATTGGGTCCCGGGATCTCAAACACCGAAAAGATCTCTTTTTTCGTTTTTTTTTCTCCTCACTCAGCCGGATGGTAAAGTAAACTCTAAGAATTGAAAAGAATTGAAAAGAGAAAGAGAGTACGGGAAAACTTTTAAGCTGAAGCTAGACTCTTTCATCTAGTCAATGAGAATTTCAAGTAAAATAACAACAATTTCAAAATGAGAATGTTTAGTTCGATAGCTCAGGAGCCCAGAGAGCCCAGGAGATCAGGAGCCGGAGGGGATCTGGAGCTCAAGAGCCCAAGGAACCCAGGAGATCAGGAGCCCGAGGAGATCTGGAGCTCAAGAGCCCAAGGAACCCAGGAGATCAGGAGCCCGAGGAGATCTGGAGCTCAAGAGCCCAAGGAACCCAGGAGATCAGGAGCCCGAGGAGATCTGGAGCTCAAGAGCCCAAGGAGTCCAGGAGCCTGAGCCCGAGGAGATCTGGAGCTCAAGAGCCCAAGGAGTCCAGGAGCCTGAGCCCGAGGAGATCTGGAGCTCAAGAGCCCAAGGAGCCCAGGAGCCGGAGCCCGAGGAGATCTGGAGCTCAAGAGCCCAAGGAGTCCAGGAGCCTGAGCCCGAGGAGATCTGGAGCCAAGAGCCCAAGGAGCCAGGAGCCGAGCCCGAGGAGATCTGGAGCCAAGAGCCCAAGGAGCCAGGGCGAGCCCGAGGAGATCTGGAGCCAAGAGCAAGGAGCCAGGAGCCTGAGCCCGAGGAGACTGGAGCCAAGAGCCCAAGGAGTCAGGAGCCGGCCCGAGGAGATCTGGAGCTCAAGAGCAAGGAGCCAGGAGCCTGAGCCCGAGGGATCTGGAGCCAAGAGCCCAAGGAGTCCAGGAGCCTGAGCCCGAGGAGATCTGGAGCTCAAGAGCCCAAGGAGTCCAGGAGCCTGAGCCCGGGGGAGATCTGGAGCTCAAGAGCCCAAGGAGCCCAGGAGCCTGAGCCCGAGGAGATCTGGAGCTCAAGAGCCCAAGGAGTCCAGGAGCCTGAGCCCGAGGAGATCTGGAGCTCAAGAGCCCAAGGAGTCCAGGAGCCTGAGCCCGAGGAGATCTGGAGCTCAAGAGCCCAAGGAACCCAGGAGATCAGGAGCCCGAGGAGATCTGGAGCTCAAGAGCCCAAGGAACCCAGGAGATCAGGAGCCCGAGGAGATCTGGAGCTCAAGAGCCCAAGGAGTCCAGGAGCCTGAGCCCGAGGAGTTCAATACCGATGCTAGCAATGTTAAAGAGATTTTTGAAAGTGTTGACTTTATCGTAAGGCTTCAAAGTTGTAACGAATGTTTGGTTGGTTAACAAAAGAAGTCAATTCTAAGTCTAAGTCGATTTTAAGCAAGCATATTAACTTCGCCCCTTTTTTGGTCCGTTTGCCACTGGCAATCCACGAATTTTGCTTGTACCTTGACCGGATTTATTTGTAAAAGGATGAATTTGCTTTCTTTCGATAGAAAATTTGATTTCAAGTCAAATGAAAGCAAATTCATCCTTTTACAAATAAATACGATCAAGGTACGAGCGAAATTCGTAGATTACTAGCGGCAAACGGACCAAAAAAGCGGCGGAGTTAACACTGGCTGAGTTTGAAGTTACGATAAAAGTTAGATTCTATCATAATTCATTTCCCATTCGCAAATTTCGATCAATAAGCATTTCTCCATCCATTCATTTCCTTTTCCCCAGCCTTCTACCATTCATTTCATTTCTGTTTACCGCATCTTCTCTTTTATATCTTTTTCTTCCACTCATTCTACTCGTTTTTGTGTATTTGCTGTGAATTCCCACTTGAACCGCAGTTTTATCGTTTTATCGTTTTATCTTTTTATCGATCGATCGATTGATTGATTTGTTTGTTTGATTGATTGATTGATTTGTTTGTTTCATCTATTTATTAGTTTGGAAAGAAAAGTTCTCGAAAATGGTAGAAGAATGAATGGTAGAAGGCTGGGGAAAAGAAAATGAAGGGATGGAGAAATGCTTATTGCACGGTGATTCCTCAAATTTTTGATAAACTTGATTTTCAAAAAGTTAGAACAAAAACACAAAACAAATTAGAGATCAGATTCAGATCAGATCAGATAGACTCTTGAAAGTTTAACTTAGCTATAAGAAGAGTATATAATATTGGGTTGATGTATAATTATCCGGACTTCTTTTATAAATGATTTTATTTAAAAAAAAAAAAAAAAAAAGTTAGAAAAAAATTTTTTTTTTTTTTTTTTTTGTATATTTATCCCCCCCCCCAAAAAAATATTTTTTTTTTTTTTTAAGGAGGATGTTTTTTCGGGGGAAGGAAAAAAAAATTTTTTTGGGGAGACCATCCTTTTTTATTTTTTTTTAAATATTTCAAAATTTTTTTTTTTTTTTTTTTTTTTTTTTTTTTTTTTGGTTGGTTTGTGGGTGGTTTTTTGGGTTGTTTTTTTTTTTTTTTTTTGGAAAGGAGGTTCTGGGGGCCGTACAACCTTTTTGGGGGGGGGGGGGGGGGGGGGGGGGGGGGGGGGGTTGGGTTTTTTTTTTTTTTATTTTTTAAAAAAAAAAAAAAAAAAAAAAAAAAAAAAAAAAAAAAAAAAAAAAAAAAAAAAAAAAAAAAAAAGAAAAAAGAAAGGAAAAAAAAAAAAAAAAAACAACAAATAGAATTGCGCACCTTCTCTTTTATATCTTTTTCTTCCACTCATTCTACTCGTTTTTGTGTATTTGCTGTGAATTCCCACTTGAACCGCAGTTTTATCGTTTTATCGTTTTATCTTTTTATCGATCGATTGATTGATTGATTGATTTGTTTCATCTATTTATTAGATTGGGAATAAAGTTCTCGGAAAAAGTTTGCAACTTGGCTATCAGAAGGGTAAATAATAGAATTCTGAAGGAATGCTGAAAAGTAGATGGCCATTATAGCATATTTATAGGATAAAACTATAAAAAAACTTCTATTTAGTTATCAGAATTCCAGTCAAAATTTTTCCGCGAACTTTCTTTCCAACCTAATAATAGAAAAAATGGTTTTCGGATTTGGTGAGCTTTTCGGATTCCAGCCGTTTTGCAATTCGGAAAAATCTTTTGCGAAAATCATTTCATTCGTCGTAAAATAAATTCACTTACATTGTTACAATTTATATGTCGTAATCGAATATGAATGAAATTTTTAAATTTTTTTTTTTTTTTTTTTTTTTTTATTTTTTTTTTTTTTTTTTTTTTTAATTTTTTTTTTTTTTTTTTTTTTTTTTTTTTTTTTTTTTTTTTTTATTTTTTTTTTTTTTTTTTTTTTTTTTTTTTTTTTTTTTTTTTTTTTTTTATTTTTTTTTTTTTTTTTTTTTTTTTTTTTTTTTTTTTTTTTTTTTTTTTTTTTTTTTTTTTTTTTCCAATACGGTTCTTTTTTTTGATCTAATACGGTTCCAATACGGTTCTTTTTTTTGATCTAATACGGTTCCAATAGGGTTCTTTTTTTGATCTAATACGGTTCCAATACGGTTCGAATCTTTCTAGTAGAGCAACCCTTTAATGTATGAGGACAATATTATATCATCTTGTGTTTGGGATGCGACCCGCTTTAACCTTATCATCGAGAATGCTTTTGCTTCAGAGTAGCCGAATTGCACAAAAAAGTTAAAATGGTTTCCCAAAAGCGCTTATAACATAACAAGAACGCGCAGCATCCAACAAAAGATTAATACTCGTCGGTGGCGACACAAATGTTAATAAGCTCTTTCTACAATGTTAAACCAGCTATCTCCTTTCCGCTTTAAAAGCGTTGTTTGTAATTACGCGTTGGGGTGGGGTACTTTGAGATCCAAAATGGGATCCAATCACAGAAATGAGATCCAAAATGGGATCCAATCACAGTATTTACAATAGAAAATTTTGAATCTCAACCTAATTACACGATCCTTTTCTCGAACGAATTAGAACAATTTATTTGTTCCAGAAATTCCAGCCTTTTTCGATTTCGATCCAGACGATTCAAGCTTTTTCCGAGAACTTTCTTTCCAAACCAATAATTCTTTCACCTCTCTTAACAATGTTGTATTGCTGTTTTAATGTTTAAAAGAAGTATTAGAGAATTAAACTTTTATCAAGTTAAAGCCATGATAAGCTAAATTAAATTCAAAGCAAACAAATCAAATCAACTAAATCAAATCAATTAAACCAAATCAATTAAATCAAATCAAATCAACTAAATCAAATCAATTAAATCAAATCAAATCAACTAAACCAAATCAAAACAACCAAATCAACTAAATCAAATCAAAGCAACTAAACCAAATCAACTAAATCAAATCAAAGCAACTAAACCAAATCAACTAAACCAAATCAAACTTAGATTCAAGGATTTTGATTTCTTCATTGATTCTTGAGTTTATGTTTG